ACAACACTTATTGCAGCATTCCCCTGGTCACATGATCAAAATTCAGACATTTGACAACTGACCCATATTTATGACGGTTACAGCATCCCAGGTCATGTGATCCCCTTTTGCAAATCTTCTGACAAGCAGTTGGGAAGCCAGTTTCACTTGACAACCGTATTACTAACTTAACTGCAGTGATTCACCCAACTCTGGCAAGAAAGATCATAAAATGGGGCAAAACTCATTTTAACAAATGTTTCACTGAGCAACAGAAATTTTGGGCTCAGGTGTGGCTGTAAGTTGAGGACTACCTGTACTTCCATTCTTTCAGTAGTCTTGGAGGATTTATTTCCAGGTCATTCCTGGGAAGGTAAAACAAGACTCAATGGGCATTGGTGCATATATATTTCTTTTTATATGTCTTTTGGTTCACTTTTCATTCACTTGTGGCAGAAAACTAGATAGCAATAGCATGTAGACTTATATATCACTTCACAATGCTTTTGTCAACTCGCAAAGCATCCCTGGCCTGCTCTCAAGTTGTAATAGGCAGAGGAGGGGAAACTGATAGAGCAGCATGGCAGCCACAACCAGAAGCACATTCCTTGCATACCTTTCTCAAAGCTGTCTCCCACGTTACCTGCAACAGCCGGAGGGGTGTGTTCTCTACTGCCGGTGAAAGTATTCCATTGGACAATGCGATTTATGACACACCCTGGGGTCAGATGGGTGGGAAACAGGGTTATAATTGGGCCATAAATTACGTGTTGTCAGAGTTGGCTTCACTTGGGTACCTGCGGACATGTTGCTTCTAATAAATAATTTGGATTTCTGTTGAAGCTTGGGTCGAGGCTTACCTAAGTGGTTTAGAGTCAACCTATTGCCCCCAACAATCTGGGTCCTCATTTTACCAACCTTGGCAGGATAGAAAGCTCATTCAGCCTTGAGCCTGGTGAGATTTGAACTGCCAAATTGCAGAAGTAACCTGCAGTACTGCATTCCAACCACTGTGCCACCATGGCTCTGTTCTCTAAAAGTAATTGGAACCTTTTGATTCAATGCAGGCAACGGCATCCAAGCCCTGCATTCTGTCCCCACTGCAATCTACTCGTTCCTGCGTTGCATGGAATCTCACCCTGATGTTCCTGATAGCTACAACTCTCTGCAGCGGACCATTATGTACTGCATCCTACTGGGTGGGGACACGGATACGATCGCAACCATGGCAGGAGCCATTGCAGGGGCGTTTTATGGGGAAGAGCAGGTGCCCCAAAGTTGGAAAGAGAGCTGTGAAGCCTACGAGGAGACAGAGAAGCTGGCCGATGGCTTGTACGAACTCTACCACCAGCCAGCTTTGAGCCATGAATGAGGATTTGACACCCAGTAATCAGGTCTGTGGTTTTGCATCCATGTTCCAAAGGAAGCAAACCGTGTCCACAATAGGAGAGTCTCTGTTCCTCCGAAGAGTGTCCAGGCCATGGCGATTGGCTCCCTGCCAAAGGTTTCTGCTGTAGGTGCATGTTCAGAAGTGCCCATTCTTTTCAGCCGCATAGTCACTGTTCACCCATCCTTCTCTCCTTTTTGCTTTTTTGTTTCCTAATTATGAAAATGTTGTAATAACATCGTAATAACATCTTGGTTAGAATCTCTGCAGCCGATTGGCTTCATGACAGTTTCCCAAGCAGATCGTCACTCCAGAAGACTTGAGATTGGACTACCGTATTTTTTGGAGTATAAGACGCACTTTTTCTCCCCTAAAAGAGGGTGAAAATTTGGGTGGGTCTTATACACCGAGTACAGCCCCGCCCACCTGTCGGCCCCCACCCTTTGGCCTCTGCCTCCCAGCAATTTACCTCCTTGCAGCAAACGGGGAAATGGGGCTTGCGGAGGCGGCAATAGGCTATATGGCAATTCCTGCAGCCTGAAACGGGTGATCATCGGGAGCCCTGTGCTTAAACTGAAATTGAAAGTGAAATGGGTTGTTTGTTGTAAGGAGGCAAATTGCTGGGAGGCAGAGACAGATTTTTTTTCTTGTAATCAAGCTAAACTGAAACAGGCTGTTTGCTGTTTACTGCAAGGAGGTAAGTCTATAAATGCCTATAGAATGTTCAAATTATTAGACTTATTTTTTAAAGACTGTTTTATTATTGTTCTAGACAGCTTAACAAAATGAAAAAGCTTTTTAAAATAAACGCTTGATCTGAAGAGGCCCAGTGCTACTGTGTCTTCTTTTAAATAGCAGAGAATAACTTGTACTTCCAGAAAGCCACGTTAATTTTAACAGCATCTGTACAAGTATAGTCTGAAATGTAACACCACAAACAGTCTGTACTGTTTGCTGCAAAGAGGAAAATTGCTGGGAGGCAGAGGCAGGTTTTTCCCCCCTTGTTTTTCTCCCCAAAAGCTAGGTGTGTCTTATACTTCGGAGCATCTTATACTCTGGAAAAATACGATAAGTTTGGACAAAGTCAAAGGATAAATATGTAAGTTTGCAGTTCATCTAGTTATTAGATTGAGAGTTATCAGGCCCAGCTGCTTCTAAAGGCAATTGGAACATGTGTCTTTAATACCAGAAATGTATTAAATGTAATGCTGGCATTAACAAATTTTACCGCTTTTTTAAAAAACTAAAAACGGATCGATGTGTCTCTGCTGACTTAATGAGTAGAGTAAGTAACAAGTTGAGTCAGGGTATTTTGTAACACTACTTCCTGGCCAATCAGTCCACCTCTGGTAGTACCAGGTATATGGGATGGTGGTGTTAATAGAGGTATTAATCCCATTTCTGCAAACTCTCAAAGTCACTTCAATAGTGAAATGGGCAGCATATACATTTAATAAATAAATAAATTGAGGTACTAAGGAATTTACTACAGTCTACCTAAAAATGCATTGGATGGGCTGATAATGGAAGCCAGGAAAGGCATACTGAGTTGATCAGGTACACACTGTTAACTACATAGGCAGATTTGGGGCCTCCTAGAGTGTCAGTTTTGTTAGGACATATCAGTTGTTAATCAAGCTTAAGCATTTTGGCAGCTGGAAAGTGAAAGTCTAATTTGTAATCAGTTCTACTTAAGGTTAATAATCAGGCAGGGCAATCAAATTAATAAGCAGTTAACAAACTATGGGGACTTTAACAAAAGTAATTGAGGCTAATGGCACACAAGGCAATCAAATTAACAGTTAATAGTCTATGGGGAGTCTAGTAGAGTCATTTCCATTAGGGAAAGGTGAAGGATTCTCAAGGGGAGGAGTGGAGAAGTGATTTATTTTACCCAGTCTTCAATTACTGAAGAAGAAGGGGAAAAAAGGATAAAAACTCCCAATTGTCACAAAGGAAGCAAATCATATCGCTAAGATAGACGTGCACAATTTGGCATTCATATATAGTATGAATGTTTGTATGCTCTAAGCATGCTAAATTGGACCATTAATACAGAAGCACTTTAAAAACAGAAAACAAGAAATTCTGAACTAAAGATAGAAAGGAAAACAAACCGACCCCATCATCCACTGATCATGTTAACTGGTTTGGTAAAGAAACGTCTCCAAGAAAACAAGCTCAGAGAACACCAAGGACACCACAAAGTCAAGGTGATGAGAGATTCAAAGCGATATTTTTCTCTTAACAAAGTACTCCTTTTATAGAAGACTTCGGGCAAAAGTATTATTAGCCCATGTAGACTCACTGTGGGACAAAATAATAATAAAAAGCTGGTCAAGAGATCATAATCCTAAAGAGATTTTTTAAAAATTGGGAAAAGCCAGGCTAGGTGTGTAGATTTGGCTTTCTCCTGGCCTGAACAAACTAATTGACAAAATGATGACTTCCCCAGAATTCTTTTCACTCCTTGTTTTGATGAACCAAAATAAGGACTGTCCCAAGTGTGTAGGCCATCTGGTCCTTAACCAGAGGCAATTGCATGCATGTTGGCTTATAAACCATCTGCTTTTCTTTGTTTTTTTTCCCCTTTCACAATGTACACCTGAAGATGGGTTGCTCTGTAGATAAGATGCCAATATGTGTACATGTATTTGCAGGGGATTACTGGAAATAAAAATAAATCTCTGTAAAATAAGATTTATTGAAGTTGGATCAATACAATCAAGTACTGTAGTTTCAGTTCAGAAGTGAAGGCCAGTTTCTGATCACAAAACAAGAGTGCATTTCAAAACAAAATTTACTATGAACAGTGCATGTAACATAAGTATTTACAAAATTTGGAAAAAAAATCCTCTATATAGTAGAAACAAAGATACTAGCACATTTTTTTTTAAGGATATCCCAATGGTATATGAAGATGCACATTGTAAGGATTTTCCAGGCCTGCCTTTTTGGCTGACTGACACACTTTGTACAAGTTCCCCCAAATGCCCAAACCCCAATCTTTTCTGACAAAAAGATTACATGCTATGTATGTCTACAAAGATAAGCTGAGGGTGGTTTGCTGAGTAGCCTCTTCAGCCCACGCTTCATCGTCCTGTATGTGATCGCTGCTTTTTTGTGACCTTTATAATGCATTAACATACAGAAGGGTCCTGCTTTATATGAGAAAAGAATAATCGGGGTGTAAAACTTCCGAATTTTTTTCCCTGTTTTTTGAAAGTGGAGAAAATGTGGTCTACTGACTTTGTTTTGTGCCTTGTCAGCACACAAATGACCAATACAGGGAGTCCTCAACTTACAGCCATTCATTTAGTGACCATTCAAAGTTACAACAGCAGTGAAAAAAGCGACTTATGAGAGTTTTTCACACGACCGCTGCAGCCTTCCCATGGTCATGTGATCCAAACTCAGAGGCTTGGTGACTGACTCATATTTATGATGGTTGCCGTGTCCCGGGGTCACATGATCCTCCTTTTGCAACCCTTGGGCAAGCAAAGTCAACGGGGAAGCCCGATTCACTTAACAACCATGCTACCAACTTAACAAATGCGGTGGTTCACTTAACAACTGCGGCAAGGAAGGTTGTAAAAGGGGGCAAAACTCCCTTAACAACTGTCTTACCATTAGAACATTTTGGGCTCAATTGTGGCCGTACGTTGAGGACTAACTGTGTACACAGAAAGAGGGGAAAAAAAGGTTTTATGTGCAGTAGAGCATGCTCTGGGCACCTAGAGCAAAAACCTGGATTTATGTGATTCTCTCTTAGAATAGTTCAATTTTTTTCCCCCACTCCAAATTTTGCTAAATGATAACATATTTTCTCTGAATGAATAGCGTGATGAGTAGGACCAAAAGGCTGTTCTCCACAGGAAAATACACTTGAAACAAGAACACGAGCCTCTAAAATTGGCCTTTTGAGTAGGGCACACAGAAAATGTGCCCTCCCATGGCTCCTTCAATTTTAGCCTGAGGGAAACCAAGGTGAAAATAAAAAAATATTTTGCGAGTGTGCCATTAGGATTACTGTCATCTTCAGGAATTTAGAAAACCACCAGATGGAATTAGAATCATTAGCCTGTTCTTTTGTTGTACTTAAATCAGACAAATCAGATCACTTTTTTTTTTAAAGGAAGGAAACAAAAAGGCAGTTGGTAGAATATTTGTAATAACAGATGACCCAAATATTTTTTCCCCAGCAGTTTTCTTTTGCTGCCCTTTTTACAGTCCAAGGTGTGGAGTTTTCACTCGTGTCAACCTAGAATCTTTGTCACAAAGTGTTGATTGCAATTGTTGTTCTAGTTGAGTTGTTTGAATGTATATATGTTTACAATAAATTTGAAAAAAAATACTAAGCTTCTCTAGCCATTTCAGGATCTATAAAAAGAATAGTTAATTAAATCCATCCATGTTCTCCACAATTTATGCAGAAAAGGAATCCTTAGCATATTTTTCATGTGCTATTATTTCTTCGGATGACAGAAATCTCTTTTTTGTATGTAAGGGGTACAAATGGCTATTTAAAAAAAAACTGCAAAAACCCGAATCCCAAACTTTTCTGTTTCTTTCTTTCTTTTAAAAAAAAATATTGCACTACTCGAAATGTCTTTTAAAGGAGCTAATATTAAGAAAATATTACTTAGCACCATTGTGGAAATTACACTGAAGGGAAACCAGGAATGTTACTTAAAGAAAAGATATCAAATATTGTATGGAGTTTGGTACGGCCACCTTCGTCAACAGTCTGCAGATCCTGAGGAAACACGGAAACAAGGTGTTTGAACAACACAATTCAGTCTTTTATATATCTATCTATATATATATGTATAAAATTAGCAATATCTGCAGTGATTTAATACTCAGATATTCATAGAAGTATATTTATTTCTTTAAACTACTGCCTTGCACCTGATGGACATTTGACTGGTTTATATAACTCTGGGCTATTAAACGCATGATTTACGGAGTCCGGCTTTTTCCAGTTGATTTCGGAAGTCTCTCTGTATGGCTTTGAAATGAAGAGTTCCTTTGTCATCCCTTTTCTCACAAACACCGAACGGGATGCTTTAAAGATACACAGAGCCTTGCGTAAAAGATGCTCAAAGCAAAGCATTTCACCATTTCAGAATTCACCCTTCTGGGTCTTCGTTATGCCTCAGGCGTCGACCGAAATCACATTTTAAAAGAGCTAAAAAGGTGGTGCCTTAAGCTGATTTTTTTTAAAAAACAAACAAACCCAAACCCCACAATGTTAAAAGTGACTTTTGTTGGCACAGGTTCCCCAACCCTTACGGACTTTCAAGGGCCCCCAAAGATGTGACGGGCAGCATCGGTGGGCTTGCCAGGCCATGCCGTCACAAGGATAAATCAAATTCCGAATCCCCAGGCGGTCCAGCAACAATGTTTCTCTTTCTCGAATGCTCTCCTTGGCTGGGTCAAAGCGATCGTAGCTCACACATCCTTCCCAGTGACTTTCCTATATATTTTTTTTGTTTTTCAAAAAAAAAGACAAGTTTATGACTCAAAGGGAGAAAAGGGCAACTCCCAAACGGCCGTTATGTGGGGCAGAGAAGGAATCCGGAAAAAGAAGAATGGATGTATTCGGTGGAGTAAAGACCGTTGGCTTGGTCTGAGGGCATCTGGATCCAGACTTGGTCGTTTTCCTTGAGTTCAAGCACGGCGCTGCCCGACGCTTGGTCTAAATACCCTTTTTTGTACTCGTCGTAAGTGTAGGTGGCCGGCACGTTGTTTTTGTAAAGGGCCACCCAGACATTGGTTCCTTTCACATGGACGTGATAGGCGAAGTAATAGATGCCGGATATGGGGCACGTGAAGATGCCTGTTCCTGGGTTATAGCCGTTCTGCCCGTTGTACAAAGTCCTGTCAAATTTGACGGGCATTCCTGAGGCTGGGAAGGGCGAGCTCAGAATGGCGGTGAAAGCTGGCAACATTTGGGCAGAGAGTTCCCCTCGGCCGAACTGGGGTTTCCCTGACTTGCCGTTCCCCAACACTGCTCCATCAACATTTCCGTCGGGCAAATGGTGGCCCTCAAAATCAGGTGACATTCCTGGGACCCCAGGCGGACCCGGTGGCCCTGGGGCTCCTGGGAGCCCAGTGATTCCAGGGTTGCCAGGAACGCCTGGAGGGCCAGAGGGGCCTATCATGCCTGGCTCTCCAACTCTGCTGATTCCAGGGGCCCCCGGGGGCCCAGGTTCACCTTTCAAGCCTGTCAAACCTTGGGGGCCCATGGGACCCGAGGGGCCTTGCAAACCTGGTATTCCTGAAGGGCCTCTGAGGCCTGGCTGGCCTGGGATCCCAGCGTCTCCCTTGGTCCCATGGAGTCCAGAAGAGCCTGGGGCCCCGGGAAGTCCCATGAAGCCACCTTCCCCCTTGGGACCCATTGGGCCAGGCATCCCTGTGGCACCGGGGAGCCCTCTCTCCCCAGGAATCCCCGGCTTGCCGGCAAAACCACTGGGCCCCTGGTCTCCCCGCAGACCTGGGGGTCCTATAGGCCCACTTGGCCCTACTTCACCTTTTGCGCCTGGGAGCCCATGCTTGCCCGGCAAACCCATGACGCCCTGAGGGCCAGGGACCCCAACCAGCCCATGGGGCCCCATCTCCCCTGGCTCTCCATCCATCCCAGGCTCCCCTTTGTCACCGATTATTCCTGGCACTCCCGGTTGCCCACGGTCCCCCTTTAAGCCAGGGAGCCCTGGTTTCCCATACCCTGTAGCGCCAGGCAGCCCTGGAAGGCCACGCAGGCCAGGTTCGCCCTTGGGCCCCAAATGGCCTGGCAGACCCGGCATGCCAGCTATGCCAGGCAGTCCAGTGCCATCCACACCTGGAGGGCCACGAGGGCCCATAGGCCCAGGTTGCCCACTGAGCCCTGGCTCACCCGGAAGCCCCAAGTCCCCTTTGTTCCCCGGAGCCCCGGGCAACCCATCCAGGCCAGGTTTTCCAAGGCCGGAAGGCCCTGGAGGCCCCGCAGGGCCAGGCGGTCCCCCATTCCCTCGGGGGCCTGTCAGTCCGGGCTTTCCCACGCCATTCTCGCCCTTTGCTCCACGCTCGCCTCGCAGGCCGGGTTCTCCTTTTGGCCCAGGTTCTCCCCGAAATCCAGGGAGCCCCGGACTCCCATTTGGGCCTGGTTTTCCATTCACAGAGAGTCCAGCAGGCCCAGGCAATCCCGGTGGCCCTGGCCAGCCCCGCTGTCCTTGGTCTCCTCGTGGGCCGATCTCCCCTGCCGGCCCTGGCATCCCCTTCATGCCAGCCTTGCCCGGAAGTCCCGGAAGACCAGGTTTGCCGATGCCGGAAAAGCCAGGGGGCCCAGCAGGGCCAGGTTGCCCATGAAGTCCTGGTTTCCCAGTGCCTGGTTTCCCCGGATAGCCAGGCGGCCCAGGTGGTCCTCTCGGGCCCGGCTTTCCCTGTGGTCCAGGTTCCCCCTTGAGGTCCATCGGCAGCAGTGGAGGCATATCTGTGAAGACATGAAGGACACGTCACTCAAGGCAGGCAGAGCATCTTGGCAGAGGCCAAACAAAACAAGCTTTGACTTGTAGAGAGAGGCAGTCCTCAACTCTTTTCCTGACACAGGAGCAGAGGTGGGATTCAGGCCCTTCAGACCAGTTCAGATGTTAATTTTAATCTGGTTTGCCGAACTGGTAGTTGCGAGGACTGGCTGACCCTGCCCCCCCCCTGCCCTGCCCTCCCAGGAGTCTCTGTGCAGCCTGTTTTGGATGCCAGGTAAATGCAGGGACCGCATGGAGGCTCTGGCAGGGCGAAAAGCGGGCCTACCAGAAGTCCGGAAATGGGCCCATTTCAAGCCTCCATTGGATCTCGGAGCCCGGGGAAGGCCATTTTTGCCCGCCTCTGGAGCCTGGGGAGAGCAACACCCCCCCCCCCCGCAGTACGGGAAGCCAAATAGGCCACGCCCCCATGGCTACGCCAACCCAGCAACCAGATAGAGAATTGGTTGCTAACATTTTTCAATCCCATCCCTGCACAGAAGGGCCCTTTGCTGCAAGTCCTGAGGGAACTTGCTGCCAAAGCAAAACTCTCTAAAGCAAGAAGACTCTTCAAAAAGGTCTTCTGGATTGTGGGAAATATTTGGAACCCTTTTGAGCTCAAAATCACTTCGATCATATCAGAAGGTCCAACGGGAGAGAAGATATGTAGCTCAAGGTTGATCAGCTGAATTCTTGATTGTCTCTGAACTCAATTGTTTGTTTTGTTTTGACCTAATGTGGTAGTGGTAGGAAAACAACCAAGCTCTGAGAGAACATCAACAACTCAACATATTGGAAATTTTCTGACCCGGTTCTGATTTCAAAGCAGCTCAGCTTTAAACTGAGAATAATCTTTCGAATTTGAGATGTTTCACACACATCTCAAACCTTTGCTAAACCTATTTTCGAATACAGCTCATCTGTCTGGAATCCACACAACATATCAGACATTAATACAATCGAGCGAGTCCAGCGGTATTTCATGAGAAGAGTCCTCCACTCCTCTGCTCACAATAGAATCCCTTATGCCACCAGGCTTGAAATTTTGGGCTTAGACAATTTAGAACTATGCCGCCTTCAGTTTGATCTGAGTGTAGTACACAAAATTACCTACTACAATGTCTTACCTATCAACGACTACTTCAGCTTCAACCACAACAATACACAAGCACACAATAGATACAAACTCAAGGTAAACCGCTCCAAACTCGATTGCAGAAAATACGACTTCAGCAACAGAGGGGTCAATTCCTGGAATACTCTACCCGACTCCATTGTTATGTCCTCTAACCCCCACAACTTTAACCTTAAACTGTCTACTGTTGATCTCACCCCATTCCTAAGAGTTCTGTAAGGGGCGTGCATAAGTGCACCAGCGTGCCTAATGTCCCTGTCCTACTGTCCCCATTTATCCATAGCCATTTCATGTATTCATAATCATGTTTATACTTACATCTGTTATCTTATGCATGCTTGACAAAATAAAATAAATACATTCATCACACTGAATTTGACATATCTATAGACTTGAATCTCTCTGAGACAATTTGAGAGCTTCGCAAGATTTCTATATGGTGACAGGACAATTTTAACATTATTGGTATCTCCATTTGCAAATAACAAAATCCAGGAGTATCACAAGTTAGCTGTAAAAATCAAAGTCCCTTAAAAACAACAATTAGCAAGCTGGACAACGGTGTCCGCAGGAGTATGCTTTGTATTTCTGTTCAATAGTGCAAAACTGAAACTCATTTACTATAATGGCTTCTGTCTAAGAAAATTTTTAAATATAAAAAAAAATCACAGAGGAATCGGTAAAAGTTTCATTCCCTCTGGGGAGAAAAGCAGGCTAGGCACCCCAACAATAATAATAGCAACAATAATAAGTTTGTTTTTCCCTTTCCTTCATCTCTGTATTCCTATCTTAATCCAGGTCTAAGATCCAGCATCACTTCATAATGTTTTCAAAGGTTTGGCCCATGCTAATTTTTTTCCCTTCAAACCACTTAAGCAAATCAAATGCCAGCAGAAGGAGACAGATGCCATTGGTGGAATTAACTCCAAATTGGCATGGAAGAGCTAAGAAGACTTTTAAAAATATTTTTACATAGGAAAAAAAACCCAAATGGTTTTTTTGAATGATGATTCTTATTAGTGGAAATTTTGAGTTGAACTGTACATCAAACATTTGCCCCAGTTACAGCTCTAATGAAGATCACATAAATATCCCCCCCCCATCAAATCTTTGTTCATTTAAGTTCTTGCACTATAATAACACTGCCAAAACTTGTATGCTTAAGCAAGTTTCCCCCCCCCCCCTTTCATTTTGTGTTTGGAAAAAGACCTTTCCAAACAAAATGATTTCAATATGTTCTTACGCTTTTTGATACCTTAGAAAAGAACAAGCTTTCGAGATCATCTGAACAAGGCAGCCTTGTCAAGGTGATGTGAGATGAAGGAGAAAAACATGTCACTTTCTCTGGATACCCCTGTGTTCTGAAAAAGCATGGTAGACTTGCAAGGGCCACAGCCCAGAGCTATCAGCCAATTCTGGCCAAAGAAAGAGGCGGAGGAGCAAAATCTGAATTTAGAATCTTCTAAATGTACAGGTGCAGTTTGGTGACTCAAACTTGGTATAATTGGAAAAAAAAAACGGGCTTGTTTTCGCAAAAAATGGCCCGTTTGTGGGAGGTCTGCAGAGTGCAAAAACTTTTTTATTTGCCTCTGCAAAATCTTGGTCCATTTTATACTCCGAAAAATACGGTAATCCTCAAATTACAACCACAATTGAGCCCAACATTTCCATTACTAAGCAAGACATGAATTACCATATTTTTCAGAGTATAAGACACAGTTCCCCCCCCTAAAAGAGGGTGAAAATTTGGGTGCATCTTATACACTGAATGTAGCCAAAAACACGAGGAAGCGATGGTCTATGGCAATCCCTGCAGCCTGGAACAGCTGATTGGGGGTATTCCGGGAGGCTGATCAACCCGGCAATCAGCTGCTCATGCTGAATCAGGCAGCAATAATGTACTGAAGCTGACCTGGCTGTTCGCTATTTGCTACAAGGACGTGTCAGAGTTTGCAGCAGCAATCATATTCAGAAAGCACACACAAGTAACTGATTCAGCAGGATTCAATAACCTCTTTTTATATATAATATAACACATTAAGTAAATATACAATATCAAAAGCAGGTTTTCCAACGTGGTAGTTCAGCAGAGGAAAGAAATTTCACTTTCACTTTTAGTTTCCGATAGCAGCACAGCATGCAGCTTTAGTACAGAACAAGCCATGCCAGGCTCCTTGCTGTCTACTTCCTTGTTGCTCACACAGCAAACACTATTTGTTTCCAAACAGCCCTAAACTCTCACGCACACTGACTAGATGCTAGCCAGATAAATACCATGGATGCTGATAGGCAGAGGCAGAATATTTTTCCCAATATTTTTCTTATTTTCCTCCCCCAAAACGTAAGGTGTGTCTTATACTCAGGTGCGTCTTATACTCCAAAAATATGGTAAATGAATTTTGCCCCATATTATGATGTTTCTTGCCACATTTGTTAAGTGAATTACTGCAGCTGTTAAGTTAATAACCCAGTTGTTAAGTGAATCTGGCTTTCCTCATGGATTTTGACCCTGCGACACTGCAACGGTTATAAATAGGAGTCAGTTGCTAAGCCTCTGAATTTTGATCATGTGACCATGGAGATGCCGCAATGGTTGTAAGTGTGAAAAATGGTCATAAATCACTTTTTTCAATGCCGTTGTAACTTTGAATGGTCACTAAATGAAATGTTATAAATTGAGGACTACCTGCACACTACAGGGATTTTATTCTGTCTGTGTGTGTGTGTGTGTGTGAGAGAGAGAGAGAGAGAGAGAGGGAGGGAGGGAGGGAGGGAGGGCGGGAGGGAGGGAGGGAGAGAGAGGGAGAATATTAGTATCCTGAATATGTGAGTTCAGGCTATTGACAAAGAACTGTGAGTTCTAGTCCTGCTTTAGGCCTGAAAGCTGGTTGGGCAACTGGGCCAATCACAAGGAGACTGGGGGTTCTAGACCTGCCTTAGCCATGAAGCTTGGCTGAGGAAGGAAGGAGGCAAGATTATTATATGCTCAAAAATGAAAAGGTCTGGTACTACCCACAATACAGGAAGATTCTGGAAGTGGCAGAGATGGCTAAATTAATTTGATTAATTAGAGAAAATGTATTTATTCATTGTGGACTGGAAACTCCCTTATAGATTTTTTTCATGAAACAGAAAAAAATGAAATTAATTACAGTCTGATTAGTTAAAAGAAGTTACTACAAAAAAAAAAACTTTTTAAAACCATAGAAGAGGAGGTAATTTTGTGTTTGTATTTATATTTGCTGTAAAGAAAATATACTAGAAAATCTAGCTACTTCTTTTTATTTCTTTTCCCTTTTTTGCACTCTGGGCTTTTTCTTTGTTTTATTTTTTCTCTATATTAATTCATGTTAGCTTTTGTTTCCTTTTTAACATTAATTTTAAAAAAATTGAAAGCTAGTCTGTTTCCATAGTATCCGCCAGGTGGCAGTGTTACTCCAAGACAAAGACTGCATTGCCTTCTTCAAAACCTCTGAATTGGGAAAAGATGCCCAAATACAGCAAAAAGTATTTTCTACCCTCCATCCCAAATAATATCCTTTATTTTATTGTATGAGAAGTCACTGTCCGTGCTTCTCCTCAACAAACTGGACATCACTTGGATATGACATGATAGAGAATTTTTTTAATTAGACATTTTAAGAAAAGAAATAAAAGTGACAGGAATAAAAGATAAGCAAAAAGAATAAAAGCGTAAAATACAAATGAGGTTACGAATAACACAATATGTTTCATCATTTTAAAAGATTACAAATCACTATTAAGGTTGTAACTAAGAATAAATAGCAGGAGCCGAGCTCCATACAATATAAATCACCAAATGAATGAGAATTAA